ATACCAGTATCGGTATCGGTGCATCCCTAGTTGTAAACATCGAGATCCTTGCATCTGTCCATTGCCGGATATTTCATTTTGTACAAATCTGGCCAACTTGTCCAAGTTTGTGTGTTTTTTTTGACCAGATGCAGCTTTCTGCGTCTCTTCAATGTCCTTATACTTATCACCACACTGTGTGTTTGCTACTGAAACCATTACTGAAGTACGATTTCACTAACTCATGTACACGAAGCCTTTTGTAGAGAGTTGGCAGTCGCTTGACTTGAAACGACAGCTTTAATCTTCACATTTCGACTTTTTGCTCAAAATAGTATTTAAGGTTTTAGTTAATCTCCAAATCTAACACATATTTTATCTGTGGCTTGCAGTGCTGTTTAGCTATTGTTTTGGTGTCCAGCTGTACAGACTGCCTTTTCTTTATTATGGTGGCTTTAGATGACACCTCAGACGTCTCTAAAGACTTGATTTCAGATATTCTTTCTACTCACCAACCCTTCTGTGTATAAGGAGTAGCCAATAAGAAAAAGTTGGCTTAAAAGGAGGGATTGCTTCAAAGTAAGACTCCCAAAAAGGCTTGTTTCACACAGAGGATTAACTAAAGTACTGCAAACCCTAGTAAAAGACACAAAAGGGTCTTTGAATCATGCAAAACCTTCCAGTAGAGGCAACAAAAAAAACTAAAAAGAGTTGAAAATTCACAGAAAAGATGTCATTTTTTAAGATGCTTTTTTTCTGTCTACTGAACTACACCAACCGTAGCAGAGGGAAGGGTGCAGCTACCTGTGACGAGAGGCTCACGCTTGTGAAAGCGTGGCAGGATGCAAACACTCAGCTGAGCTGTAACATTAGCTGGCTGTACGCTTCCTCTGGCTGGCAGGTGTTGTTTCATAGAAAGAAAATGGTTCCTACATGAAGCCGCTCAGGTCTGAGGTTTTTTCCCCCCGAATAACCAGTGCATGTCTTCCAAAAAAAGACATTTCTTTTTTAATATGGCTCTTTTTTGGCACATCAAAGGCAAAGCAGGCAGAAGCCAGACATTTCTACAGTCAACAGTCAAATCTCCAAAACTGGATGACTCACTCAAATGTATGAACAGCACTACATGACGGAGGCAAACATGTAGGTTTAGTTTGGGGTGAACTGCCACTTTAAAGGAACAGTGCAACAGTGTGCGAGGTATATACGTAAATATGAAAGAGCCAGCAGCTGTTGTTTCATATGGTGGATGTGAGCAGTGCAAGGAAACAGATTACCTGACTCATAAAAGATAAGAAAGTCTGTCTGCCGGAAATGATGACGTTTATCTAAGCTTATCTATATATAATTATGCATTATAGAGATTAGGAGGTGTTTCACACAATGGTACATCCTGCGTAATAATTCCTTTTAACTCTCATATGTAAGTGCATATGTTCCCAGGCAGTATTTGTTATCGCCTCTTACTATGGTGGAATGTTTTTGAATTTTATTTTGCTTCTTTTTCTAGACCTCTAAAGGCCTTTGCTTTTGTTTGACATTTCCACCTGAAAATAGATTCCCAAATATAA